CTGTTGGAATCAACCCATGGATCCAACCTGTCCAGGTCCCTCTGCAGAGCCCTCCTGCCTTCCAGCTGATCAACACTCCCCCCAGCTTAGTGTCATCTGCAAATTTGCTGATGATGGACTCAATCCCCTCATCCAGATCATCAATAAAGATATTAAATAGAACTGGGCCCAACAGTGATCCCTGGGGGACACCACAAGTGACCAGATCCCAGCTGGATGTAGCCCAGCCAGATACTTCTCCAGAGATGGGTGGTGGGAGGGTTCAGTGTGCCTGGGACATCCCAGATGGGGTGTAGTCATTCCTGGGGGGAGATGGGCCGAGCTTTCCCATCGGTTCTGAAGGAGTTGTGTTCCTGCAGGAATGTTGCCTGTGCAATCTCAGGGGAGGAGCTCTTCAGATGACCACTGATGGGCGGTGAGTGTTGTATTTTGGGATATTTTCCTCCCACATGCCATCCAATCTCCTGCTGTTGTGAATTGGGTCTTAATGCTCAGTGTACCAGCAAGGTTTGGTGTTCTGGAGGTGACAGCTCTGCACTTGGCAGGACGAGCCTGAGTGACTGTGCTGTCTTACACCACACCAGGTGCTCCATAGCAGAAGTTCTGAACACTTGTTGATCATGGTTGTTTCTCAGAGAAAAGTCTTCTCAGAGAATGTTTAGTATCCTGCAAAATCAGATGCACAAGCAGGTTGATCCCTGTTGTTGCAGAGACATTTACCTCGTGCGACCGTAATTAACAGTCGGTAACGTTGCCAAGGCTGCCAACCCATATAAATATGCCTTGATGCTGAGGGAGGCAGGGAAATGTTAACTGCCCTCCTGAGCATTTAATTCAACTAATGGCAGACTCTGATTTGTCTCTTTGCTTTGTTCCCCAGGTGGGTCCATGTAATCTGTGCTATTGCTGTCCCCGAGGCCCGTTTCCTCAATGTAATAGAGCGTCATCCTGTGGATATCAGCGCTATTCCGGAGCAGAGATGGAAACTGGTGGGTGTCTCTTACCTGGGGAGAGTGTTTGGGAACAAGAGCCAAAGGAAAAAGCTGTAACTAGACAGAAAAACATTATGTGGGTTCATAAAGTAGCTGAGGTTGGAGGTGATCTCGCTCTTATTTCCAAACAAAAGCTGTGGGGAGCTGCAGCATTTGATATCTGCTGAGCACTGTCTCAGTGCTTTGATACACAAACAGCTTGTGAGTTCCAGATGTGACTTTACTCTCTGGGAATGTGCTCATACCCTGGGCAGAGCCCAGGACCCTTCCCCACCTGCAATCAGGTGTAAACTGCCTGAAAGCTTCATTTACTCCAAGTACTGCACAGTGGGACTGTGAAGGGATGTGGTGACTAGAGAGAAGCTGACTTGTTCATCTCTGAATTGATTCATCTTTCTTTGCAATATTTCTCTTTTTCTATCAAGAAATCTCCTGTAGAAATGAATAAACATTTTGTGACCCTGACTGTAAGGCAAGACTGGGAAGATTTTAATACCAGTCCAGCTACAAGTTGTTATTCAGCTGCGTGGCCTCATCCCAGGGATTAGTAATGGATGATTCACAGGCTCAGAGCAATTAATCTTAATGTTAGTTAATGCTCCATCACTACACTGTGTTATTGCAAAATAAATTGTGCTTTTGCTGCTTTTTTTGGTGCAGAAGTCAGCTGGGTGACACAGTGTGGGACAGGGAAGGTGCTGGAGCGGTGATACATGGGATAGCACTGATGGATTCCTTAGCAGAGCTGCTCTTTAGTGCAGGGAGCCTGAGTGAGGGATTAGGAAGGATCTATCCCTACCTCCAGAGTTATTTCTCTGTTGTGCAAATGGGTTTTGTACACAAATGTGAATGTAAAAAGCATTCATTATTCAGGAGGAGTGCTGGAGCAGAGCGATGCGAGGGCGATAAATCTTTGCCGCGGCGCTTCTTTATGGATCAGCTGACATTTCCAGCCTGCATCCTCTTCATTACCAGCACTTGTAACGCTGAACTTAAAATCCTTTTACACAAGACTCACTTGTATTGCTTAATGGAGCCTCACAAGGAAACATGGCTTAATTCTTTAACCCTTCTTTGGCTGCCCTGCAGTCCTGCAGAGCCAGGGCACTGTCACCGTACGTCGAAATCTGGTGCTTCATTCTGCTCAAAAGTGTTGGCTGGGCCTCTGCAGGGACCTGCTGCACACCTTCCTCTTTCATTCCTGAATTAAAACTTTATATTTTCATGGAATCATAGAATATCCTGACTTGGAAGGGACTCACAAGGATCATCAAAGTCCAGCTCCTGGCTCTACAAAGAATAACCCTGAGAATCCCACCCTGTGCCTGAGAGCATTGTCCAAACACTCCTTGAGCTCTGGAAAGGAATTTTGTTTGATTTGTTCACTGTTGTGTTCCATTTGCACCTCCTGTTTTCTTTCTGTCTCAGGGGAGGGAGAGAATGTTTGTATGAAGTACCTTGACTTACACAGTCCAATGTTGGGATTTACAGGCACATATTCCTTATGCTGATGTTAACCAGAGCCTGGCTTGTAGCTCAAATGTCAAAGCCTGGCTTTAAGCCCTTCACTTGGAAAGTTTTAGGGTTATAAACTAGATCATAAAGATGAAACAATTAATTTGGAGGGCAGAATGTAGGGGCAGAGGTACTCCCAGCAGCAGCAGTGGGGTGGGGTGTGAAGTACAAAGGAAATTTAAATTGGATATGATTGTGTGGAGAAACACACTCCTGAACCACAGTGGGGAATTTTAGGATTCTTTGTAGGAATTTGGAGCATGAGGAGTCAGTGGAGGAGCTGTGTCTGTGTCTGTGCTTTGGAGGTGAGCAGCTGCATTCAGGAAGATAAACTGGGGGTGACCAAAAGGTGCTGGGGTTGGATCTGATGACTTTGGAATGATGGAGTTGATGCAGTCCTGGGTAAAATTGGAGAGGTGACCTTTGTGGCTGAAAAAGATGGAAAAGGACAGAAGGAATGATGTGAAGGTTGAGGACAGTTGAAGTGAATAGATGAAGGTAATGGAGGAAAGAGGGGGTAGGGTTTATCCCTGATTATTGTTTGATTTTTTTAATGTGTTTGTACTGTTTTAAGTTACTGTGAGAGGGCTGAGGAACCAAAGCATTGCAGTGGTTAAAGGTACATCCTGTTCTTTAAGCTTGTACCAGGTCTCCCTGTTGAAGCAGGGACTTTTCAGTCCATTTGTGGGTATGGCATCATTTTCAGGAATGCAGTTTCCATGCTCCCTGATTGATGGCATATTGCAGGCTCTTGCACGTAAATTATTTATGACGTGGAAATTTGGAATAATTAGCTGTCATTCCTCAGTGGAGTAAATGAATTGCAGTGTTCATCATGCAGGAGACAGCCCATTTCTTACTCTCAGCTGTGACCTTACTCTCTGGTGTGCATTTATTCCAAAGATTTCTCTCCTGTGTTTTTAGACCTTCTCTTTTCCCTCCCACAGAAAGCGGCTTTAAATCTCCGTGTGCTGCTTTGCCACAGCTCTTGGCACTGGTGTTTCTGTCCATCCCATCTCCCACACATCCAGCTCTTCTGCATTTTCACAGGATCACAGAACACTTTAGATTGGAAGGCACCTTAAAGCTCCTCTTATTCCACCCTGTGCCATGGGCAGGAACACCTTCCAGTATCCCGGGTTGCTCCAGCCTGGCCTTGGACACTTCCAGGGATGGGGCAACCACAGCTTCTCTGGGCAACTCCACCCTCCCAGGGAAGAGTTTTTACTTTTTCCATCATTCTCTACCCTTCAGGCTCACTGTAACTCACGTTTTTCTTCATTTTTGATCCTATTTGCACTGAACATCCCCCTCACTGTGGCAACCCTTCCTCCTGTCCCACAGAGTTTGTGTTGGCACGAGGGTGGCATTAGGTGTGTGCTAATCCTTTCCCTTGGAAAAATCCTGTTTGCATCAGCAAGGGCAGATTCCTGACCCAGGAGGGTTAACTCTCCCTTGAGCCCCCCCTGTGTATCAGCAGTTGTTGTGCTGCTGGGACAGTTGGGTATTGACAGGTTAATAATGGGATCTCTATTGACTGGCTCTCAGGCTGTGTCCTGCTGTGCACTTTCCTGGTGCTTATCTGCCTTTGGAACATGGTTTGCAGAGTGATAAAGGCTCAGCTTATTAAAGGCTAAACCCACGTTCTGGCAGCACTGAGGCTCTGGCTTTGAATTTCCTGGGTTTTGTTCGTTTGTGTAAAAAGGCCAAATTAATCTTTGGTGTAAACAAACTGACTTCAGTTGATTCACAGGGAGGAATGTGGCTTATTTATTTCAGAGAGAGCCCAGGCAGGGAGGGGGGATGTTGCACAGGAATAGGGAATAACACATCTTTTCTTTGGCATCTTTTGCTTTCAAGGAAGAGAGAGAATGTTGGAGAAGGAGTGGCAGAATCATGGAACAGTTTGGGTTGGAAGGAACCTTAAAGCCCATCCAGTTCCACCCCCTGCCATGGGCAGGGACACCTTCCACTAGCCCAGGTTGCTCCAACCTGGCCTTGGACAATTCCAGGGATGGGGCAGCCACAGCTTCTCTGGGCAACCTGTGCCAGGGCCTCCCCACCCTCCCAGCCAAGAATTCCTTCCCAGAATCTCATCTAAACCTACCCTCGGTCAGTTTAAAGGCATTGGAATGTTTTTTGTCTTGGCAGTGGTTTGTAGTGAGTGCAGTGGGACCTCTGCTCTCAGCTGTGAGAACTCAAATCAAACATTAAAATTTGGCAATTCCTATTTTATATCTGGCAGTATATATTTTACATTCTAAACTATGAATAGTTTATAGTATGGAACCACCCTTCAAGTTTTTTGAGGGTGCACTTTTAAGATTACTCAGATCTAGAAACAGAGTGAACTTGTGCTTCTGGGGGTTGTATTGGTTTACTGTGTGATCTCAGGCAGCTTATGTTACATTCCCAATCCTGTGGGATGTAGTAATTCATATGGATCTTAAAATTTAGGTCATGTGTTCTGTACTGGTGCATAGTTTGAGCAGTGTTTTAATGGGAGTGAGGGGAAGGAGGGCTCTGTTGGATATCAGGTGCTGCAGAGGCAAAATGAATCCATCATTCCTAATGTGTTTAGAGGACATTCATGTTCAGATGAGTGGATGGATTGGGAAGGGGACAGTGGTGTGTTTTGGGGATGGCCAGCTGGAAACAGGCACTAAAAATTCCTGCTTCCCTCTGTTCCTCCTTGTATGTGGAATTCATATTTTGTAATAAATAACTTCCAGAGCTGTATGTTCAGATTCTTGGACATCAAATATTCCTCAGTATTTTATTTCTAAGGGCTGTTCATCTTAACAAGGAAAGTGCACATTTGTCTGGGGGGTGACTTTAATTTTGCCCTGGTTTGCCTTGTCCCAGCCTCAGATAAGGTAAAGAAGCTGCCCCATCCCTGGGAGTGTCCAAGGCCAGGTTGGAGCAACCTGGGTTAGTGGAAGGCATCCCTGCTCATGGCAGGGAGTGGGATGAGATGATCCTTAAGGTCCCTTCCAACCCAAACCAGTCTGGGATTTGATGATCAGTGACAGATTCCCCAGAGTGGAAATGCTGAAAACTAAGAATGATGTTCCCAGTAGTTCCCTGGAAACGTTATGAAAGCCTCCAACTTAAACTTCTTTCGGTTGGGATTCCCAAGATCTGCTTTTCTGTATTTTTAAGGGGCTGGAAACAAGAATTGATGCTGTTTTAGGGAGTGAGGAAGTGTATCTTGTTCCTACCACACCTCATGCTCGCTGCCAACTCTCAGTGCCATCAGGCTCAGGATTTTTAGCTTTGAAAAAAATGTAATTTCTTTTTTTAAAATAGCCACACATCTTACATTGATTTACCTAATAACTGGATCTGCTTTGCAGAAAATGAATTTAAAAATGACTGAAAGATTTCAGACCTTCCCCCCCCCCCATAATTCTGCTGTTTGGTACAATGTTTTTATTTTCTTTTGTTTGCAAAACTGCCTGAATTACCTCCAATGGCTCATCTGCCATGGATGCCAATAAAATATTTATGGTTGATGGGCTTCTGCATCTAAAATAAACACACGATATTTTTGTTCCCATTCTATAAAATTATATCCTATTAGATCTAATCGATAGAATGTTCCATTAAATATAATAAGGGCAAATTACTCCCCAGTTATTGTGTTCTGTTCTTTCAAAAAAAAAAAAGGAAACCTCATTTTCCAGCAGCACATCTGTGAGGATCCAGCTGATTCAGGAGTCTATGTGGGTACATTCCTGTGTCTGAGCAGGGGGAGGGTGGGGTTGTAGCAGTTCTCTGGTGGCACTGAGGGGTCTTTACCTGCTTTGCCCTCCCATTCTCTGAACCCTCCAGTGAACAGAGTCTTAAACTGGGCTTAAATCACTGCCCAGTGTGGCTCTGGAGGG